CGCGTTGGGCGTTGTTCTTCGCGCCGGGCGCGTGACCACCAGGAGGCTCTATTTAGGCAAGTCCGCCGGGCGCAAAGGTGTGTGCGCAGGGCGAGCTTGAGAATGAGAGTCTCTGGTTGGCCCCCGCCGGGCGTGACTTGAGCTGCGCCAGGCGCGATATCAATGGTGATCTGTTTTGGGTGTTCTGGTGCCGCGCTCGGCGCGCGTCTGGACTCGCTGGGCGCGGAGGCTCCTTTGGAGTCTTTGCCAAGAGGGCGCTGGGCGCAATGCGAATTGCGCCAGGCGCGAGATCTTGGTAGGTCTCTGCCTTCCCCACCCTGGGCGCGGGTTAGGCCACGCCGGGCGCGTGAGACTCCTTGGAGTCTCTACCTAGTATGCGCTGGGCGCAATCTGAATTGCGCCAGGCGCGTGAGAGCCTTGGGCTCTCTGGTTGAGGCACGCCGGGCGCAGGAACTCTTGCGCCGGGCGTGTTGGTCCCTGGTGCTCTCTGGTTGAGCCGCGCTTGGCGCGACCATGGGTGCGCCGGGCGCGTAGGAGGATGTTGACTTGATGTGCTATTAGTTGTTAAACTTTGCTGAAATTGCTGAGAGAGGTTGTTTTATGCTGAGCTGAGCTGTAGTTGTTAAATATTGTTGTGCTAACTAGTTGATAACGTTGAATTATGTTGTTGAGCTGAAATTGACGAATATGTCATGTTGTTAGATGTTATTGCTGATTAAGGATGTTTAGGTTGTGTTGTAAGTAGTTTAGCTGAGCCGTAAGCTGCTAATTGTTGTATGCTGATATTGTTGTGCTGTAAGTTGTTTAGCTGTGCTGGATGCTGATATTGTTGTGCTGAGCTGGGCTGTTATTGATGAGTTTAAATGCTAAAATTATATTATTGCTGTGCTCTAAAATGAAGAGCTGAGTTGTGAGTAGTAAGCTGTGTTGAATACTACTTAGCCGTGCTGTATGCTGATTTGTTGTGCTGTGTTGTGAGCTGTTTGGTTGTGCTGTGTTAGTTGAGCTATATGCTGTGTATGACCACTATTGTGGTGTTGTTCTAACTGCTATGTCGGTGCTGTTATTAGCCACTATTGTGGTGCTGTTATAGCCGCTAAGGCGGTGCTGTTATTGCTGCTATGCAGTGCTGATATTGTCATTTTGCGGTGCTGATATTGTTGAATGTTGTGGTGTGGTATAAGCTGTGATGGTGTGCTGATAGTTGTAGCTGTTTACTGTCATATTGCTATATATGTATGTTGTTTCTTTACACTAGCTTACCCTTTGTTGTCTCCATGATGTTTGGATTGTGATGATCATACTACGTATGGAAGCAAAGCAGGGATAGGTAGGTGGCTGATGGTGAATCTACAGCTGGCAGATGGAGTGGATCTTCTAGGATCTTTTGATGTTTAGCTACTTAGTGTAGTAGCTTTTGATGTATTCTGTACACTTTAACTCTATCCAGATTTGGATCATGTATATGTATATATTCTAGACCCTATATGTATACACCTGTTCCTTTCTGTGTGGTGTTTCTAGTGCGTTGTGCAGTGTGTAGTGACCAGCCGGGTTGTTACAAGCGTCAATTTAATATTTATTAATTATTAAATTTTGGTATTATTTAGTGATTTATCACCACTTAAATGAAATAATATTTAGTGACATGATATGTAAAGAGAAAATTTAAAAAATAACAAACAAAAAATCTTTGTTTGTGTATATTTCAACAAGTGATCGGTATTTATTTTATTAATGAATCTTATTTACATTTTTTTAGTTTTTTATCCTCTAGTTTCATATTACTAAATATAAAATTACTTAATTATGAATAAACATTAAAACTTAATAATTAATAGATATCAATTTGATGAGAGGACCAAAATTTTGCATTTTAAAAATTAGGGGACTAAATCTTTATTTTAAAATAAAGGGATCAAAATTACAAGTTGAGAAGAATATAGAGATCAAAAATGTAATTTAGCTAAAATTAAATTAGTTTAAATGAAGTTAGTGTAATTAGATAATATTAACTAATTTTTTTAGTTAACAATTTTACTTATATTCAGAATATTAACTAATTTTCGTAGTTAAAAAGAAATATTATTATTGTTCTTATCAAAATCAGGTCGGCCCTTCTTCTCTAATGTACCTTTGATCGTGATCTTTGAGGTTGGTCTTTTTCTTCAACGTCTTCGATGTACCTACAAAAAAGACTCCGACGATCAAGTTAGTTGTCTAGTGTATCTTAGCCATTATCTATATAATTACCTGTTCTTTGTTGACTTCGATCTGTTTATTCAAAGATCACCTCGGTTCTCCATTCTCTAATCATACTGACTACCTTATATGCTTGCTGTCATCATTAGAGTCATCACATCCGAGGTATTGTCTGCTTTGTCACTCGTTGGGCCGTCATGGTTTTGTCCTTTAAAAGGCGCTTCTATGGGTTAAGGAGGAAGGGTGTCATAAACTACCCTTAGTCTCGACTCCTAAGCGATGTGGGACTTTTAGGCATACTAGAACAATTATTATTATTATTATTATTATTATTATTATTATTATTTTACAATCAAGATGAGATTAAGTATTTTGTTTTATGGTCACAACACAACACGACAGAGTTTGTTTCTGCTTAGTAGTCAATACTTTGGTCCAATTGTCCAATACATGAAATTTGGCCCTTCCTCCTACAATGCACACATAATAACACCTTTTGATGTGCCTTACTTTTTGCTATTTTTGGGAGAGGGGAAGAATGAATGAGAAAGATAATATGTGAAAATTGGTTTGATAAGAAATAAATAAGAAATAGAGTGAAAAATAGTAAAAATTTGTAGTTATTTAGTAGAGTGAAATTATATGAGAAATATAGAAATTTTAATATTTTAAAATTGTAAATTTTATAGTTAGACTTTTATGTAAAAATAAAATATACAATTATCATTTTACTCTTTATTTATATTGAAGTATGATTATATTTTTTTTAATGTAATATAGTAATATAATTATGTTAGTTTTCATAATCAATTACGCAAGATTTCAACCTTTTGGACATATATACACTCTAGTTAGCAAGAAATAAGCATAATTCAATATCATTTTAGCATGATGGAATATCTTATCACTCATTTTTTATTGGGTTTCAAGTGGGCATAATCCAATATGACTTTAGCATAATCCAATATTAACAAGCCATGTTTTGTGCACACAAATTAAGCATTGATTATCAACTTTAGGACATTGCATGTGTCATGTCCATTGACAAAAAAAAATACAATTGTCAACGACCCTTGTCCAATTCTACAATAATCCCCTCATGAGAAAGGATGATTTTATTATCATGGATCATATCATTTATTCATCATAATTTTCCTTTAATTAACTATTTAACCTTTACTAAACACCTTTTGATGTGTCATGCTATATTGCTATTTTGGGAGAGGGAAGAATCAAATGGAATAAGATGGGAATATATGAAAATTGATTTGATAAGAAATAAAGTAGAAAAGAATGAAATTTATGGTTATTTAGTAGAGTGAAATTAAGTGAAAAATATAGGAAATATGATATTTTAAAATTGTACATTTTATAGTTAGATTTTTATATAAAAATAAATAAATGATACAATTACCATTTTATCCTCTATTTATATTGAAGTGATATTATATATATATATATATAATGAGGAGGGATTCTGTTACTCCAAAAGTAAGTATACATAGACTTATTCCGTTTAATAACTCATGTTCTACGTCGAATTTCAACGATCCAACCGTTCAATTTAAAGTTCTTAATGCATAGATCAAATTTGCAAATTTTTAGAAAATTTGAAAATCATTTAATACTTCGTTTCATTAATTCGAATCAATGTATAAAATGATTTTATGATTACCTGTCAATTTGAATTAATGAAATGAAGTATTAAATGATTTTCAAATTTTCTCAAAATTTGCAGATTTGATCTATGCATTAAAAACTTTAAATTGAACGATTGGATCGTTAAAATTTAATGTAGAACATGAATTATTAAACAAAGTAAGTCTAGATAGACTTACTTTTGGAGTAAAATGATCACTCCTCATATATAATATAGTATTATAATCAATTATGTTAGTTTGCATAATCAATTATGCCACCTCTCAACCTTTTGGAGATATATATACACACATCTAGTTAGAAAGAAAAAAAACATAATCTAATATGACTTCAACATGATTGAATATCATATATCTCTCATTTTTATTTGGTTTCAAGTGTGTATAATCCAATATAATCCTATTTCAATAGACATCATGTAAATTTAGATTAATTCTTGATTGTCAACTTTAAAATACTATATAAATCATATTGATTAACAAAAAAAATATATGACTATCAACGATCCTTATCCAATTTTACAATAATTTTCTTATATGAAAAGATGATTTTATTATCTCGTATCACATTATTTATTCATCTCAAATCTCCTTTAATTAATCATTTCACGTTCACTAAACATGAATATTTTTGTTAATTCCCCTCCCATCTATTTTCATTCCATCCCTCTTGAATCATGCTCCCAATCATAGTGTATGGTCAACTTTGAACAGTCTCTTTCATTTGTCTCGCCGTCCAGAATAACTAATGAAATTAAATGGCTAATATTTCATCACACTTTCACATACTAGGCTTTTTTAAATGCAACCAAAGAAAAGGCCAATGAAGCACGAGACTTTGCTTATATAGCATAATCCCACTACACGCTTTCTCCCCACGAAACTCACACGTGTGCAATCGTAACGTTCAAATATTAGGAATCCCATTGAAACAACCAAGAAAAAGCATATTCCAAGAACAATAACTCCAAGCCCATACAACCTGTTTGATAGAAACCACGATTCTCCCTAACGTTTCAATTTCATCAAGCCGATAATTTCGATACCTTTCGACACATACGAGTATTTCATTATCAACGTTTCGCGGTCCCACAAATTTATTATTTATTAAACTCTTGAAAAAGGCGACGAAGATAAGCATGAGCTAAAATCATTCATGATGTCTCATTAATAAAACTCGAAAACGGCAAAAAAAAATTAAAATACAGAAAAATAAAATAAAAATAAAAAAACCTGAAAAGCAACTGGTATTATTACTTTTTTTTTTCTTCATTCAATTTTATTTTTCGCTTTTTTTTTTTCCTTCTCAAAACATCACCCTCTAAAAGTCATCGTAACCAAGATCATCCTCAACCCTCTCCGCCACGTCATCAGCAATCTTGTCCTCGATGTACTCCGCACCCTCCACCAATGCAATTCCACCTAGAACCCCAGCAACCGCGCCCACAGCCAATCCCGTCCCCATTCCCCCAAACTTACTCTTCTTCTTCTCCTCAGGCGCGTACCCGTACGCGCTCCCTTGCCCATACGACGCCGTTTGAGGAGCCGCATTATAAGGGTAGCCTCCCTGCTGAGGATACCCTGCAGGCGGAGCCGCAGAATAATACGCTCCCTGCTGCGGTGCACCGTACTGGTACCCATAGCCCTGCGGCGCAGGGGAATAATCCCTCACGCCGTACCCAGGCGCAGGGTAGCCACCCGGCGCATGATAGCTCGGCTGTCTGATCGTCACGCTAACCTCAACCTTTCCCTGTGGCCTCCCCGAGGGACGCTTCAGGGTAAGGGATCGGCTCACGCGTGAGCCGATCCCCTCGTCGAGAACCTCGGCGAGCTTGAGCCGAGCCGAGCCGATCAACGGCTTGGTGTCTTCCTCTGAGCCGGCGTGGACGACGTCGATGTAGAGCGTTTGATCCTCCAGGGGCTTGGGTGGAAGCGGAATTGTAAGCGTTTGGTCCCAATCGGCGTCGGTGTCGCCGTTTTCGTCGACGCGCGTGGAAAGCTTGTTGCTTGCGTCGACCCAAACGACGACGTATGGGCGATTGGCGCCGTGGCGCCAGTTCACGTTTTTCATGCCGCGAGCCGATGCGAGTTTGAGTTCCACCTCGTAGCGAGAACCCATTGTTTGTGTGAACCGATTTTGCGATGTCGTTGACTCGTTTGTGAGTTCGGAGTGTTACGACTCGACTGTTTTATAGGTGGGGTTTGTTTGGGGCGGGTTCTTTTACCCTTGACTTTGGGGATAATTGCAAAATTGCCATCGATGCGATTTTTGACGCATGGAAGGTTCTTTGCTTCCGGCATGGTGGTTGGCGCGGAACGTGCGCGGAAATCCTTCCTATCTTGGATGGGGAAAGAACAAAAAGGGTATCTTTTGGGTTAAGTTTGTAAATTATGAATATTATATATTACCTCCTTGTTAATTTTATAAGATTTCCATATTACTCAATTTGGATTTATTAATTATTTTCAATTAAAATATTATTAATTGAAATATATTTTTTCTTAATTTATTGAGATAGTTAATTATAATTATTTTTAAATTAAGAAAAAATATATTTTAATTGATTAAAAAAGTAAATAATATTAATTAGACTTAAATATATTTTTAGTCTCTCCAATTTAAGGTAAATTTATTTTTTATTATCAAATTTAAAATTATTTTTTTAGTTTTGTAATTTTTAAAAATCTTATTTTAGTTCCTTTTATCACTAATAATATATTTAAAAGTGACAAATTGAGACAATTGTATAGTATTAGTTGAATTTAATGTAATATTTTTACTAACAGAGATATTAGTAGATAAATTTTATGCGAAAATATTTGACAGATTCTTTAACAAAGTTTTAATATAAGGATTAAAACAAGATTTTTAAAAATTATAGGACTAAAGATCAGTTTTAAATTTGATGGACTAAAGTTTGATGAAATAAAAATATATTTAAGCTTATTAATTATATGATAGAAAAATAGTATATGACATGTATTCTAATTAATTAAGAGAGATGAATATTAATTAAGAGGGAAAAGTAGTATAAGAGTAATTTTTAAAAAATATGTAAAAACATGACAAATTTTTTGTTATCAACTAAATTAATTATTTTTCTTAATATTTTATACAAAAGTAATTAAATTCATTTTAGGATATTGTTAAATGTTCATTTGTATTTTGCAATCACACTTTATTATTACTCCATTTGCATAACAAAAAAAAAGGGTTAAATTATACTTTTAATCTTTTAATAATATCAAATTTACAATGTTGCTTTCCCTATTTTTAATTTCACAATTTTACTCCTCAAATTTTATAAAATCTACAATTTTAGTTTTCTAGTTGAATGTTCATCTTTTGATTATTAACATTGTAACGTTAATCATGATTCAACATTAAGTAAATGGCATAATTATTAATATTTAATAATATCAAGACTAAATTTTAATTTTAGATCTCATTTTATCTTATCTTATTTTATTAATTTTATGAGATAAAATAAGAATTAAAAGTCAAATTTAACATAAATATTGTTAAATTTTAAATGTCAAGTTATATACTTAATGTCATATGATGACGAATGTCACAATTTTAATGATCAACTGATAAATATTTGATCACGATAACAAAACTGTAGATTTTATAAATTTAGAGGACTAAAATTATAAAATTTAAAATAAAGGGACCAAAACTATGAATTTGATATTATAGAGACACCAAAAGTATAATTTAGTAACAAAAATTAATTTTTACTTATGTTAAAAAAATTAACTATTTACATTAAATTATATTATTCTTTTTAAATTATCCTTATTATAAATGTTAAAAAAAAGTAGTCCAACTAAAATGTCATATTAAATTGAAAAGTACCAAAATCTTGCATTATGGTTCATATTATATGATTAGTAGAGACAACAACCAACTAGGAGACAAAATAGGTGTCAACCTAACACTTAACTACATATTGTTCAAGAAACTAAAAGAGTTAGTAACTGAATATAATAGAAGGATTAACTTGTGTAAGATAGTTAAAATTTAGTAACCTAGATGTCACGAAAAATATTTTAGAGACCTATCAACTACTTCTACCATTATTCAAAAATCAAATTAGATGTTTACTCAAAAAATAAATGTACCTTTTCGATATCACTCGAGTTTTACGTTTTACAAAGAAGAACTTTAGTATTTTAGGAGCTAAAAGGAGGAACTCAACATTTGAATAAAAATTGGTAATAAATCATTTACCCTTACACTCAATATTAATAAATAGGTGTCATTACCAACAAATGTGCATGTAGTTGGTAAAAAACAAAATCATATTTTAAAAAGGATATGAGTTTGATTTGAGAACTTTGTTGTTAGGTAGTTTATACTTTATTAAAAAAAATACTCCCTTTGGACCTATATAAAACAAAAAAATATATTCATACAAATTAAGAAGGTAGTTAAATGTATTTAATTTTCATAATTCCATATTAAATACACACTATAGTTACAAATATATAGTTAATCACATTTATTACAGATAGTGTTTCCATTTAATAGGTTGTGACACCCTCTACCTCATATATCATAACACAAATAATTAAAACCGAATAGAAAAGTATTTCAGAAATAAAATCCAACGTGTTCAACATAGAAAGTATCACATTTTTAGCAAAACAAAACCAACTAAAATCCAAATGAAATCTATTTCAAGAAAACAAATAATTATCTCAAAATATGAAAAAAGAATATGATTCGTAAGTCTTGATGTCACATTCTATCAAAGCATAACCTTTCTAGAGGATTAAGCCTTGTTACTCACATCCTCAACATCATGTTGAAGATTACATGCAACAATATACAAGAAGAGCAACACAAAACAAGGGGAGTGAGAAACATCTCACTTTGACTAATGATGTAAGATGTAACCGAATAACCAAATACAAATAAGACTTATATCCACATAACATAAACATATCAATTATATAACATATTCCATTTATTCACAATGTGACAACTAAATATCACATAGCATTAAGATGCATTATGCAACGAACACGAATTATATGTTGAAGTTAGATGAGAAACACGTAGAAGGGGGGGTTGAATATGTGTGTGTGTGAATTAAAGGAATTTTAAAATCATTTTCGCAAGGAGACTTTCTTTCGTCCAGTAAAATGGTATATTAGTGAATGGTAAATGGAAACTGCCCAGAATTGGTTTAACAAAATCATTTTGCGACTGGGAGATTCATTGTCTGCTTAAAGAAAATACTTTTTAAATGAAAATTGTTCTTTTAGGATAACCAGTTGAACAAGTATTGTTTTCTTCTGAAGATAGTTTTAATAGACAATAAGCATTAGACGAGGTTTTCAGTATATTAAATTAATCAAATAAAAGTGCGTCTGAAATATAAGGATAGTGCAAATATTTTTATACTGGTTTGCTCAAACTGAGCTACGTCTAGTCTCCTTCAAATGAAGGATTCCACTAGATATTCAATAAAGTACAAGTATTGTTTGCTCAGGCTCTTCAGGCTCATAGTGAGTATTATAGACCATCCAGGTCACGACCACTCCTGGTCTCAAGTATTCTCAACCACTTCTGACTCGTCAGCTTCACTCGTAGACGCTAGTATTCTTAAACCACTTCTGGTTGCCCGAGTATTCTCAATTACTCCTGGTTCGTCAACTTCACTTGTTGATGCTAGTATTCTTTGATCAGCCACTTCTGGCTCGTAGTGAGTATTCTCGACCAACTCTTGGCCCGTAAGATGAAATATCTTTTTGTTAGTTGATATTATAATAATATTCATTTATCCTAACTAGTCACTACTAAAATAATTAAAAATTTATTATAACAAGAAAATCTAATATATACATATATATATATATAAAATGTTGAATATAAATAATTTTGTATATTCTATTGAATTTATTTGTATTTATTGGATATTTGTTCTCCATCCTTATTTTTCTTAATTTGATAATTAAATATATTATAAAATAGATAGATCTACTTGCGATTCCAGGTCTATTTACGGTTGTTATAACTATTGTCTTCCTTGGAGAGAATTGGAGAGTGGATGCTCTTTTCAACTTTGTCACGTTTCAAGGCATAAGATTATCTTCATTTGTTTTTTTTTTTCCGACCAAGAAAACCCCACTATTATTGATGAACCTATTATAGTAACTTTCTTTTTACCACCCGTTAATCATACTAATCCAATTGTAAATTTATTTCCACCACTAATGTAAATATTATAGACGTAGAAAATATATAGTATGTAAATAAGTATGTTATTGTAAATATTTTATATTAGTATGCAATGTATATAAATCCAACTATATGTACATTATTTCATGAATTTTTCTTGTGTCTCTATTGTAAAATATTATTAATTCTATAATTACATTAATAAATTATAAAGATATATATATATAGTATTATATTTAATAATTATATAATTAGGTGTTACAACATGTTTCTTGTATTTGTAAGTCTATAATTTAAGTTGAATTTTTATCCGTTGCTAGTAGTTGTGGCGGACAATATAATGATAAGATGAGTTGTTAGGTTACAAATGTATATCATTTAATATAACTAGTAATTTTACCAAAAGAAAAAAAATCAATTGGGTTGATTATTGGACTAAAAAATATTGCATTTTTTTTAGTTAAATTACGGGATAAGATTGATAGTCCAATGGACAGGAAGTTTGAATCACTTTTAACATTTTTTTTCTTCATTTTTTAATCATTTAAAAATAAAAATAAAATAAAGGTAAATTAAATTAATTATTAAAATAAAAGATAATTTGGAAAAAAAATATTTTTTTCAATCAAAATTATATGTTCACACATGTAATTTTAATGAAACATGAAATCATTCTCACAAAGATTAAGTGAGTCTATAATTTATTGTGATATGATAATATATAGGTAACAAGTTAGTCGGGTAGTTTTAGTAAAGCTAGCATGATCTTAATTCTTTTATCTTAATTTTTCTTTCAATAAATATAAATATGAGAGTTCTATAATAATATGTATGAGTTTAGGTAACTGAATTGCTTATATATAAAAGAAAGTTTATTATGCTTGAAAGATAATTAATGTATATATTTAAAGTTCATTTTTTTAATAAAAAATATAAAATAATGACAAAATTAACATATAGTCATAGTTACCCAAG